TTGAAGTCAATCTGATAAAATTTGTAGGAGGAGTTAGCGGTCGCTGGCTCGGTCCCTAATAAGAAAGGCCTGTGCACAGCAAATTCAGTCTCTCAGTTAGCTGCATGTGCTACTTCGAATTCTGAAAGAGAAAAAATAAATGTAAATATCCACTTGTGTGGGGGCAGATTTATTTGGTTGCACTGCCTAAATAAATTCTATGCATAGTAAACACTGGTGTGTCTGAGAGGTCCAAGTGCATGGAAGGCTTTCATTTCAGGAGGAAGCAAGTGTTTGAAACAAACAAGATTCATGAATAGGATTTATCATGCATACACAGGCTTTGCATCTCCCTCTGTGCTTTTGTGGCTCTCTCTACATCTACTCTGACACACCATGCATACATTTGAATAACAAGCACATGTGAGCACTTAGTTTTCTTTGCCAGGAACACCTTGTTTCACATTCATGCACCTCTATATAGTTTCACAGGCGTCTGCCCTCTATAACCAGAGTTCTACTCACACCTGTCACTACAAAAACATACAATAAACATAACTTTTCCATTCCCTTTAATCCACTGCATTCTGTTCATCAATGTTATATAAATCATGGGTGAGCAACTACACCTGCTGTCTTCATGAATTTGCTGAGGGTGACCTATTTTGTCGCCTCCGCTCAACACCACAGCATCTGACAAGCTTTTTACCGAAGCAGCCAACATCTAAACATGAATCACTTAAAGATGTGCAGAAGGGGTTTGAACCCCAATGTAAGTGGAGCATTAAAGACATGTTCATGTTCTGCTGGGTGAGACAGAGTCAATAATGCAGTTGCCTGATTAGGTCCTGGCACTAAAGACAACAGACCTTAGCAAGCCAACAGGCAGTTGCAGTAGTTTAAACTAGCATAAATATAGTTGTATCCTCACTAAACTATAGGGATGCATGATAAGGATTTTTTACCACATCCTACCATACCGATTAAATGATGCAGATACCAGTAAGGGGTAAAATCTGTATATACTAGTATTAATCTCCACCAGTTTTACACAGTAAGGTGTGGCTATGAGCGCCTTTTAAGGATGCTCCCTATGTCTCACGCTGGTGTTTGAAAGGAAAATGGCGTGTATCCACTCACCAGTAGAAGAGGCTCAGTTTTTCGTGACAGAGATCGTCATCTAGCTTGCCAGCCCCTGGCAATTGCTTGAAAAGTCAGTAACCCGTAGTTTGCGCATTCTGCAGAATCGGACTACTCTTCCCCATCATCCTCTCTACTCCCAGAGACCCAACTTTCACCGTCTGGCTTCCAGGCTGACAGCAGTGCACTGGCCGGACTGTGGGAGGTAACTCTGGATTGGAAGAAAACAGTTGAGTTTATTTAGCTTATTTATTTGACGCAAGAGGCATGACTAATTTTTGTTGGCCAACGGTTGTGTTAACAGTATTTTGTGTTGCTTCTTAGATACCCAAAGAGGAGTTTTGTTGAGAAAGAACTTCTTTATGGTGATTTGAACTGTGGGTATTGTACATTGGGAATGGTCTCATTTATTGTGACTAGTTCAAAAGGTCGGTGGCTATATCAGTTCCTTTGTAGGGTTATGCTGGTTGTATATTATAAATTACATTTTGTCAGACTGAGACTGGCACCCTGGCTTAATGCCAGCGACTGTTACAAAGGTTAATTTCCTTGTCATGGGGAACACTACCCAGCCTGAAAAACAGTTAGATAATGTAGTCTGTGGCTCTGGAGGAGCTTTGTTAGATCTGATAATGATGATGCTGTCAGGGCTTGGAGACTACACATTCTTAAGAGAAAGCAATACAAACTGGAGGTGTGGATTTTGCCAGG